GACAAAATAGATAACAAAAATGGTTTGCTATATATTATACAAGATAATTACATTTAATACAGTTCCTGATGATAATTTAATCAGTATAGTCCATTAATTTCATTATAAATTATGGACAAAATATTTTGTAATTTGGAAGTACTTATAAATGTTAAGTTACTTAAATGGTTTATTACAACATTATCAGAGAGATTATTAGATAATATTTCAATCTTTCCATATGAATGAATCTTATTTGGACAACTAAATTTTACTTTTACAACTGTGAGAATATATATAATATTCCGAAACTAGGTTAGTAATACTTTTTTGTAAGCAATGATGGATAGTGGCTAGCAGTGGAATCCAGGATGCCCGTTTCGTCCTATTTGGGACTCGTCAGCTGGATGTACCTGCATCTCAGAGTTGATATTCACTCTGGGACTCTAACCCAGTACCATTCGCTTCAAACTCCATCGCATTATCCACTTAGCCACTGAGTATGCACATATGCCGATAACAGACTGATCAATTGCAGTTTTAAATCTCAATGGGAAGATACAAGCCAAATAATATCAAGTGAATAGGTTATAATTAGTTTTCAACTAAGCAAACTACTTATAAGTAGTTCAAAATATTGCAAAGAATTTTCAGATTCACTTTACCACTATTAGTCCATCCTGGTCTATGAATAAATTTCAGTGTAAGAATATAACTAAATAAGTTCATACAAACTTTCTATACAGATTATAAACAGATGCGGTACATTTTGGTTTACACTAAAATGAAGTATTCTTTTCAGACAGCTTTTTTCTTACTAAAAATGAATAATCAATTCAAGTTATCACAAATGAAAGCATAAGTAATGACTATCAAATAGATCTCTGGCCTAAAGAACATTTTAATTTTAAGCTTTATATGATAAATTTTCATAGATCATATTCACTGATGTACTAATTAGTTTAGTTTCCACTTTGAAATGAAAATCACTCTGTAGACTATTAAATTGATGTCGTATTAATATGACATCATCCAGTGAATGTCAAGTATCTAAATCTATTGATTGAGATCATGAATTGATGAATGTTAGACCACCGTTAATAACACACATCGATTCATGATCTCAATCGAAAACTTAACAATTTCCACAACTTTACAATCATATCTAAACTTAATTATCTTTTTGTCAAAGTTAGGAAAATTGATTTCATTATGTTTAACTGAAATTTCTCACATATCTTCATTACAGATAATGGTATTTAAATAATATTTATGAGAATGTTATGTCGGTTAATAGTATAAGTATGTACATAAATTTAAGTAAACACGAAATGACCATACTTTCATATGATTGAACTTTAAGTACATTAATAGCATACAGTATTATTTCGTATGGTTGTCAGTGCAAAGTATGTTATACTTACAAGATTGAAAGTAAAGTTTTATGCTTCTTTTCATATAACAGTTTAAGATTTTCATAAACTTAATAAAATTCATTCACAGTACATTGTGAAATCGAAACTGTTTTGTTAGTTAATTATTTCTTTAAGTATAACATTACTAAACTGTTCATAATTTGAACAAATTACTTTCAATTATTATCGATTTTCAACACCTTCTGATACTAATCAATATATGCTCATTAATGACTGGCTTCAAGAAGCATTTCTTGGAGTTCAAGAGCGAGTTCAACCAGGTCTCTTGTGAGATAATAACTCAATGTTGACAATGGTGGATGTGTTGCTCAATTGCGTGGATTAGTTGTAGTTAGACATTAACACCGTTGAATGCTGGCCGGCTCAGTGGTCTAGATGTTAAGTGTTATCGCGTGAAACTGAGAGGACTTGTGTTTGAATCTCGCGAGTCGGGATCGTGAATGCACATTGCTGAGGAGCCTCAAAATAGGACTAGACAGCCGTTCAGTTCTTTCAAATTTTCTATAGTGCTCTAGCTTCATTTGACTCATGATCTCAACTATTAAATTTTTAACAAAAGACAAAGTTTCCTAACATCAAGACAAATTGTAGAAACTTGACTTCAAAAGCAATGATACAAACGGTTCTATGCGTTTAAAAATGAGCGTAAAATTACAATTATTTTTAGAAAGAAAATAATGCTAATAATGTATACACGTTTTTCTTCAAACACACACACACACCCAGACAAATAAACACAGACTGCTCTTACATAATACCACACAAATAAAAGCTAATTTTGTTTACCCTCTAAACTCAATATGAAATTAGTTTCAGGATCATTCTTATATTAATTTAATTCAGCCATAAAACTTTGGATTTTTTTACTTTCCTATATCACAAAATTTCATCAGTTTGTGTGATAATTTTAGAAGTAATTATATGTGGATAAGAATAGACGATATATGCATTTAAACTTAACATTATGAAATACAACTCATTTCGGAAGTATACTCAGGTGGAACTGATGTAATATAATTAGCATTCAGTTGTTATATGATTTGATATTCAGCAAAATGCCGCCAGTAATTGAGTTAACTATTCATTCGTAACCGGGTAACATTTTGCTGCATAGAATGCATATAGTTCGTTGAAACTCATTCATCCAAAGTAGCAAATTGTGTAAACTTTTAGAATTTATTGTATAATTAATGTTCTGTGACTGAAATAAGAAGTCATGGTCCGCTAGGAAAAATTTCATTGAAGGCAATGAAACAATGACATGATACGCCTAATATTTATTAATTTATTTTATACTACTTACAAGTACCTAAACTCGCATTTTAAAACTTTCTGTAATTTGTTATCTCGTTTTAAAACTGTTAATGTCATAGCGTCATTAATTGCGATATACATATTATAATAACCAAATAGGCATATAAAATTCTATCACGAAGTGTTTGACATATTTTGAAATGCATGCATAATGGAAGTGTATTTTTGTTGCAAGTTTGAATTCTTCAGATGTTACTTAGCGTTAAATTAGTAATACATACACAGTACTGTGTGAAATGCCAAGTGAGTAACAGTTACATGGATTTAAATGGCAGCTTGATGTTGGCAAACTGAAATAAATAAGAATTTCTTAGAAAGAAATTTAGACATAGTTATACCGATACTATTAATCATCTTAGTAAAACCCTGTTTATACAACACTCAACTACACTTAAATCAAACAGGTATCAATCATTCATTGACTCTTAAAATTAACACGTAAATAAATGAATACAAATAGAATCACAATTCAAGTAAATGGTGAGGATGTTTAGATTGTATTTCTTTTCAAATGAGTTCTTTTGGTTTGAAACATTAATAACTAACGTTTCCTCATTGATAATGACCTACTTCTTTTTGCCGAAACAATGGAAAACTATCAACCATAGAACCGATTATTTCATGAGCATAACTTTATGGTATAAAAGTTTAAATTGCAAATCAGCCAGTTTTATGAAAGGTATAACCTGGCGCATGTACATCTTCCTAAGTTTCGACAGAATATTAACACAGTGAGGTATAGCTATAAAGCTAAATCCTAGATAAGTAGAAATAATAAAAGTATCAATAGGGGTAGGACAGGTGAGGGTGTAGAAAAGAATAATACAGAAATATAATCTAAGAATATTGTGAATTCTTAAAGGTAATGTTTCACATCTATAAATCAGATGGGAGACAGCTAGTGCACAGTAAACTTTTACTTTGGTAGCCAAACGGACATCACACCTACTTCAAGAGTGATGAATGTTAACAAAAGCCAGCTGAAATATTTGAATCGGTTTCGAGATTTCATCATGCATCAATTCTCCAGGGATGATAGGACTATCATGGTAAGGTAAGTGGTCGATGCTCACACATACTTCACTCCCTGTCATTAATCCACGTATTGAAGCAGCTTAGATGTAAGGCAACATTTTGAAAATAAATGAAAATGAAATGGATTCCAAACATGCTTGTATTGATTCACATGATGATCAGAAGACTGTGTTTGAATTATAAGTGAGTTATATAAAGTTAAATGGACCAAATAACATCATATATTACGTTGTTAATGTATTCACTAATACATTATAAGGCAACTTCTATTAATTCTAAATAGGTTATAACTTTGCATCCAATAACACAGACATGATACATCAATTTGATTGTACAAATTAAATAAATCTCTTTCAGGTATGAATAATAAATCACAATCAATCAGTTTTCTTTGTTTGTTATCATATTTTACACTTATTAAGTTAATAGATAGATAGTATACAATAAATAATAGATCTATCTAGCCGAGACTATAATTTATGAACGAACAGATCAGATTTAAGATAACATGTCTCGGATTTTTGGTGCGAAATTCATTCTTTTATTTGTCTAAATAGTGTTTTGACAATTTATCTAATGTCAGTTTGTGATGTAAATCATAAATCTAAGTCTTAATCCTTACCATCAACTGTAAATCATAATCCTTATTCTTCACACTACTTTATAACTTTCACTTAGCTGCAGTAATTAGGTGTACATTCTCAAGGTCACTTTCGTTTCACCTCTATCCAAGATGAAGTTGACTCAATTATAATTATTAATCCATCTGAATCAAATGAACATAATGATGAATGTACTAAGATTTCAGTGTGAAATACATTTCGTCTGTTCATTTTTTTATATTCTTCTACACGTCAAGTCGTTAAGGTTAATATGAGATATGTTTCTTTAATTTTAAGACTTTTCAGAATGGAGTTTTGTGGATATTGTATTTAAATGCATGAGTCGATTAAAGCTACACTATCATAGATAACCTGGAAGTACTGAACAACCGTTTCGTCCTAGTAAGGGATAGGATTGTGAATGTGCACTTCTAAGGAGTCCCATATTAGAATCAAAAAGGTCGTCCAATACTTCCAGGTTATCCATAATGGTCTAGCTTTAATCAACCAATGAATTCAATTATTTAAGATTTGTATTGAAACTAAATGCATTGAAAACTTGACGTTATCTAACTTTTCTTCCACCTTTTTTTTTCTTTCATCATTGTCATTTATCAACATTAACATTGTGAAGAATATAAACCTAAAGCTGAATTATGTGGAAATGGTAATATATGTCTTTATGGAGGAAAATGTTATGATCCATTAGATCATTATTATCGATCAAAAATGATAATAAAAAAATTTTCACCATTATATTCCAATTGTATATGTGAACATATTAATTGTTTAAATGAATGGCCTGATCCAGTATGTGCAGATGATGGTGAAACTTATACAAATCAATGTTTTTTAGAACGTGCAATTTGTGAAACTCAATCATTAAAACGTATAATTTATCGAGGAAATTGTGGTAAGAATTATCTTTTTCTTTCTTTCTCGTTCTCTCTCTTTTTACTTTATAAAGAATTAATCAATAAATATTTTTCTATATATTAATTGAATGTCATAGATAAGATCTGTGATGCGTCGTAAATAATCTAGTCCTGTGTATCATTCATGAATGAGACAGTAGACTAAGACTCTTTGATTTCCCATAATTTTCTAGCTAAGATTAATTCATTATTCAAAGCTAAACTCTACAACTCCCATAATAAAAAAGTGATATTCGTTACATGTTGCATAATATTAAACGATAAATTACTTCAATGATTAACATTGAGATATACAAGTCGTAAAGAAGAGGGTTAGATAGAATAGACAATATCAAGAAAAGCATAATAAACGGTTTCTTTTAATGCAAAAACTTATCATATTGCGTCAGATCGCTGTCACCATGTAAACGTACAAGGGACACTGTGAAATCTGACCAGAGTGTATTGTAATTCCATTAAATAATTATATAGCAAAATAATATGCAGTTATATATATATAGTGTGAAATGTCTCATTTCATATTCTGTCACTAGCACTGCACCTTTAAACTTACCAATCGACAATTTAATAAAATATTCTCATATTTGTAGTGTCGGTTATTATGTCAAGCTCATATACCTCATTTTAAGTTTCGGACAGACCATTTCATTCATTCTATTTGAGTCACATTCTGACCTTGTAATTTATTCTCTTTTCAATCTTGACTGTCTTTATATGAGCATGGAAGTGTATGTACATTTCTTATCCCATTACTCATCACATGTCTGTAACTTACTTTTGTGTAACTATAAATATTAACTAAGGCTCAGTTAAACAGGAGTTGGCTTACCCGCCATCCCCACTGCACGTCCTTTTGCTTCGTTCTATTCCATTCACTTTATATACAAAATATATGTATTCAAAAATCCATTCTCGTTATTTGTCTTATTTAATTCCGTTATTGACTAACGTGATTTAAGTCGATGATGATATACGAGAATAGGCGACATATATATTTCAATAACAAACATCCATTACGATCTTATTGGAGTCAGATCCACGGGCCACTAAAGTGGAGAGTCCTTTCGACAACATCTATCTAAACGACAACAAAATAACGGGCCTCCATATATTAAATAAGTGGTAAATCTGAACAAAATATAAATGTCCTATCGTGTCACACCAATTAACTTTAGCTATTCGTAGAATAAATACAAATACTTAAAAAATGTAAACAACTAATCAGATATTCATTACGTAATATTGCATTACTTTATTAGTGCATTCTATACAAAGTACTTACTTACTTACCTATTTACTTACGCCTGCTGCTCCTAATAAAGCATAGGCCACCGACCAGCATTCTCCAACCCACTCTGTCTTGGGACTTCTTTTCTAATTCCATCCAATTCTTGTTCATTCTTCTCATGTCTATCTCCATTTCCTGGCGTAATGTGTTCTTTGGTCTTTCCCTATCACACTGAGGATTCCACGTAAGGGCTTGTCTTGTAACGCGGTTAGGTGCTTTCCTCAATCTGTGTCCTATCCACTTCCAGCGCTTCTTCCTAATTTCGTCCTCCGCTGGGATCTGCTTTTTATCTCCCACAGTACACATTGATAATATTGTCCAGATAAACAACATTAGCTTAGAAATTGTAATCATTATACTCAGAAATAGAAACATTATACAAAAATACTCAGTTGAGTAGTAAATCTTATTGATCACTGTTTATGGCATAAAAATATTTGATTACAGTTAATGAATTCATGAGAAAACGATGTTCATTTGATGCCCAGTCGAATCTTATCAACTACAGTAATGCTAAATGTCTTGCTGTTATGGTAGGATTAAATGAATCATTCCGTTTACATTACGTAGTGCAAAAAAATGTTAACACTTATTTAATGGTCCTATATTTAACTCCAATTATATCATATGAATGATTGTTATCAAAATATACGTCATGGCTATCCTCGTATATAATTATCGAATTAACTCGTGTTAGTAAATAACGGATTTAAAATAAGTCAAATAGGACAAAGGATTTTGAATACGTTTATTTTGTGCAATCATTAATCCAGGCATGTAAGCCAACTTGATTTAATCAAGTGCTGATCATTATCTACAAACATGTAATGAGTAGGATAAGATGCACTCACACATGTCAACGTAAAAAGTCAAGGTTGATAATTGAATAATTAACAAGGTCATAACACGACCCAAGAAGAATGAATAAATTGGCCCGTCCAGAAGCTAGGATAAATTATGTGGTCTTAACATAGTAACCGATATTATACTTCTCTTCAATGATTTTACAAATCTTACAGCATTAAGTACGTGAATAAACGTCATATTTATTCATCAGTTCTACTTAGCAGTTTAATAATTACGAAATGGCTTTCAGTCGACATTTGTTTCAAAAAAAACAAATGACAATGTGGTGCATGCTACTGATGTCGATAGATATAAGTAGTATGTATCATTAATCGAAAGTGAAATACCTGGCAGCATAAGGTTAAAAAGATCAAAATAAAGAGAACGAGAAAAAAGGATGATTACTGTGGAAACGAAAGAATAATGAAGTCTGAGACGCTTGACTGACATTTGCAGAAGAAACAGTCATGTTTGAGACAATTAATTGATATTTTGCAAATAAAATATTTACTGTATGGTTCTCAGAGTTCACTAAGATGTTCTACGATTTTGTGTTCAAACACATTCGGTTGTCTCCACTTGTGTTCTCGTTCACTATAACAAGTTATATCAGAATTCTTGACTGTTATTGAAAGATGTGATGATCCTACAATACCCTATCATAATCCTTTTATGAATACTCATACAAGAAGGAATGTTTGTGATGTAAAACGAATAATCTTCAGCATTATTGAAAACTTTAGTGATTTTCTTTGGGATCCATTTATTTTCAGTATAATAGTAAGACTTTCCATAAAGAATCAGTAGTGAGACAGTATTTGTACTTGTGTACAGATACAGTCAAAGGATAATCTTTCAATTTATTCAATCTCTAACCTTATTGAAATTCATATGTGATCAGATAGTTTGTAAAAAAATTACTCTAAGTGTGTTTAAAAAAATAACAAACTTAAATTGAAAACAGTTGGCTAGCTATTTTGTATTTGACAGAATGATGTTTATTCTACAATAGGTCAATCATCGGATAATAACCGAATTCATGTTTATCTAGTCTTTCAGTGTAGATCATCTTCTAATATAGTCCAAGTGATATGACATCAAGCGAATTATGACTTGGTTACTAGGTACTTGGAAGTAGTCGGCATAAAAACGTGAGCTTACGATTCGCGCTAGCTGGAACTCACTATCAAGAAGCACTTACAGTAACGACGCAAATGTTACTCCTTGTGCTATTCAAACCTTATTCACTCAGTTTGGCAGTCTGAAACTTTATCCATGAGCTATAATCATACATAAACAAAAAGTAAAAAAAAGTCCCATGTAAATCATAACATTATTTATAAGATTTACCACCGTTTTGGACACTAGACAAGCTCATTGGGCAACCATCTTGACATAGATTTATAATAATGGTCAGTGCCATTCACATGTCAAAATGTAAAGGCATTTGTACATTTATCAAAACGGTTTGTAACACAACAGAGTCATGTACTGTCTTTCATATGACACCATTCAGAAGCGAATAATGAAGACAAAGAAAATCAATCTACCTATCTTTCATCTATCTTCCAGTATCTTAAAATCACCTACCAAATGGTTTTTAATGTAAAACGCTTATTTCAAAGCATGAGAATTACATTATCTAACAAGATTATCAGCTATTTCAGGTAAACATTTTTCATGTTGGGTTACCGTTTACTCGTATATCAAGTAGAATTTAAGGGAAGAAACCGATTAGTTAATTAAATTGAATCATGATGAAAATCCATGACTATAAATCTATGTCCCAGTATTCAAGACTTCATATCGATTTGTCCCACTTTCTAACATTATAGAAATTTCAGGTTAGTCATCTTAGTTCAACCGACTTTATTCATTTGTACCACATGTTCAAAAATGGGCAAAATTCCTCCTTAGAATATTTTACTTACTTATCATTTACTCTGTTAGTTATTCTTTTTTTCTCGTTTCTGTTTCCTAGTATATATTCCATTCATTAGTCTATGTAGTATTTATGACAAGATCATTGTTTATTTCATGGACTTGATTTAGATTAACACGTTCATATTGTAAATGAACATGTTTGTATATATAACAAATGTAATAAACATATATATATATATATATAATTAACCTTTGTACAGCCATTAATAATACCTACATTGTACAATATTTCAATTTCTAATCAAATAACATATAATAATATTGTGGAAAAACTGTTGAACAGGGTAACAAATTTATTAAAATATAACTGTTTGTTTAATGATTGTAATTTTGAAGTTGTGGATCGTTCTAAAACAAAAACTATTGAAACATGAGATGGTAGAGATTTGTTGCGCAGGTGAATGATTTTGATGAAGTTGTGTTCTCTGAGTTGGATGGTTTGGTTGTGGAACTTTCATTATTCCTCTGAATGACATCATTAGTAAAAACTTCAGGTAGAAGTGAAGTGTTCGAATTTCACCATATGTGGTTCACAGCTTATCCTGTAGACCTCGATGTTAATTGATTCTTATTGACCTTAAACCTGTCAATGGTCCCAGGAACAAAAATCAAACCAATGGGAGATATAACCAAATCAAAGAGGTAAACAATGACAGGCTTAATGCTAACAAGAAACAATCAACATCGAGGTCTACAGGATACGCTGTGAACCACATATGGTGAAATTCGAACACTTCACTTTTACCTGAAGTTTGTACTGATGATGTCATTCAGAGGAATAATGAAAGTTCCACTACCAAACCATCCAACTCAGAGAACACAACTCCATCAAAATCATTGAAACTTGTGTTCAGTTCTCGGTTGTAGAGTCGTGAGTTTGATATGTAAGTTTAGATAAGT